AATAGAAATAGAAATAGAAATAGAAAGAAGGCAAGAGAGTGAGCAGAGGAAAAAGAGGAGGAAGGGGGGTTTTAGGGGGAGTGAAATAGATAAAAGACTACTCGTGAAACAAGGCAACAAGAATGTCTCTATGAGAGAGAGAGAGTGCCATTTCGATGTGATAGAACGACCAGAGTAATTAATAACAATGGCCAGTACGTTTAAAGGGAATGGAAGAAGGGAGGGAGGAGCCACACCGCGTCGAGAACAATTCCGTGGCATTCTATTAACCGGCCTCGTGATTCGACTTCAGAAACTTAGGAGGAAAGCTGCGGAAATTACGGTGCGCAGAGGGGCCGGCGTTAACTCGAAAGGAGTAACTTAATTACCCTCCAGCACGAATGCCTGCCTAGCACGAAGTTTCCGTTTTACGTGTGTGTGCAAAACCTATGTATATATATACTATATATAGTATATATAGTATATAGTATAGTACGTATATGTACATATATACATAGTATAGTACATATATGCTACTAATTATAAAAGTAGTTGATCAAATAATAAGATCATAAGTCAAAAAATAGACAAAAATTGATTTTACTATTTACTTTTTATTAACATTCATTGAATTATAAAAGAAATCATAAAATAAATTTATCCAATTGTTTAATTTATATATATATATACTCTTATATTTTTAAACGTATATATTATCTTGAAAACAAGTTTATAGAACCTGTGTCCACTTCATGATATAAATTGAAATAGGTTTGTCATTAATCCTAGATGTATTATCAACGATATCTTACCTCATTTAGTTGATGGAAATCTCGTCGTTGAAATTAATATTCCTGTCAAACAAATTTTTCTATCGTTAAATGAACACTCAATCATTTCAATCTTTATCTTCATTTTCTCTGTTTTAAATTCTTATTTCGTATCATGAATGACAGTATTAGAATAAATTAAATATAACATTTGTTTATATTAACATTTTACGTGACAGATATAAGTGTATATGAATCATTCATAGGGTAAAATTTGTTTAAATTTTATTATCGAATACTTGATTAATATTTATTTATTGTAATCATTAAATGAAAACAACGTTTATCGTTGTTCAATAATAAATGATACAATAGTTTATTATATATTATTTTATGAATTTTCTCTATCATTTGTTTCGTAGAATTAATCGATTTAGCAAGTAAATAAATCGTATAATCGATTGAATCAATCTCGAGGAAAACTATACATTTCATTGATAGTACAAAATAATAGAAAAGAGTGGAACTTTCAAGATATTCTAGTAGAGGGAGAAAAAGAAGGTAATCAATCGAGACTTATATTCAGCAAGGACTTTCAAATGATTCTTTTTCATTCACTCGAAATCCCCAGGAGCTCTTTTCATGCTAATAAGATTTCGTCAGCCGTCGACGAGTGAAGAGGGCTCGCTTAAAACGAGAAAGAGAGTGATAAATAAAGATAGATAGATAGATAGAAACAGAGAGAAATAGTAGAAGAGAAAGAGGGAAGCATGTTAGGTTGCAACGCAGAATCCAAACGGACATAAAAGTAGTACGTGCTATAGGATATTTTTGTTCTCGTACATACACACACACACACACACACACACACACACACACACACACACAC